GTGGGCGGGCATAGTGGGCGAGCTGCGACGAGGCTTGGTAGACTTCAACGTGGGAACACTGTTGCGCTCCACGAGATACTGCATACGCATTGCGCCCTGCGAAGCACGACTTTCCCGACCGTGTCATCCCGCTTCAAAATGGAAAGAATCGCTATTTTATTGCCAACGAAATCGACCCTTGCCCCGCCTGAATCACGATACTGCCATGGCAAAAGGTGGCGCTTGGCGGGAGACTGGGCGTGCTTAGCGAGGCGGTGGCGATGGCGGTCGTGCTCTCTCACCCGCCGCCCTTCATGAGGGCCTCTCACATGGTCACCGGGGACCCCGATGAGGCGAATGCTATCGTGGGACGATCTTTCGTGAGTGGCTATCGTCGTCGTCGTTATCGCCACCTGCGTCCTCGTTTCAGGTTCTCGCCTCCTCTGATCGGCTGCCTGCCTCATCGGTTCGTCCAAAGCACGCGCCATGGCCCCTTGCTATGGTTCTGTAGGCCTTGCTTCCGTCGAATACAACGCCATTGTCATTTTGCTGTTAGCTTTTTTTTTTGCGTTTTTTTTTGTACTGTAGACTATGTGTCAATACGCTGCCCCAGCAGTCAAAGTTCGACCGCGGCCTAAACTCCGACACGCTTGTACTCCGTGGTTGTCATTTTACAATTGTATGGTAGCATTTTAACGGTTAAGCCTCCTTCTGTTGTGTTTGTTCGCTGTATGTACATCATACAGCTGGCGCAGTCTGTGTTTGACCGCGGCCTCTACTCCGACACGCTCGCCTCGCTGCGGGTGCTCCGCGAGTACCTCGTCCGGGCCGTCGGGGGAAACACCCCTCAGAAGTCGTTCTGCAGGCTGTTCTCTCTCAGCTACCCAAAGATGGAGCAGCTCGTGTCCACCCTCTACGCCATACACAGGTATGGAGTATGTACACGGCCTTGTGTTAGGCACTTCAGTGTAGCTCCGCGTGATCTGTGCGACCTGAAGCCAGCTGCAGGTGCATGCGTGTGTGCGTGTTTGGAGAAAGTCGGTGGCGGCCGATGATGACGTAAAATTGCTCCGGGACGAGTGAGAAGTGCCTTCTGTGCGGTGGGGAGAAGCTGACTGGCTGCTGGTGTCTTTCCACACTGTTCGCCAGCCGTGGCGATCTCGTGCAAGATATGACTGGACCGGGATGAAGAATTGAGCCTACTAAAGCTGCCCCCCCAGGTCGAGGTGGTCGGTCTAACGACTACGGCATGCGTTTACATGAGTTCCCCCCCCCCCCCCAATCAAAATGCTTTGTCTGTCCCCCCTCCCGCTCGTCGCGCACGCAGCCGGGCCGCCGAACTTGCGGGCGAGCCGATCCCGATGGTGCCACGCGATCCCGCTAGCGACCCGGACCTGGCCAACACTTTGAGGCTGCTCCTCGCCTGGACGTTCCCCCGAAACGTGAGTCCGCTGTTTGTTATTGTTGTTGTCGCCGTTGTCGAAAGTGTTGCTATTCTGTGCTAGCTGTCCTCTTAGTCAATACAGCTGTGGTGTTTTCCTCAGGAGCCTTTGTTGACTTCCTCGATCGATCAACGTGACTACCCCTTGATTTGACGTGCCGGATTTTTCCTGCTTGTCCACGTCACAGCAACTTTTTTTTGAAAGCAGCTTCAACATTTCCCGTCGTTTCTCCTGCTGCACAATACGCCTGCGGCATCGCCAAGTTGCCGCCGTTGCCGTCAATGGCGATTGTTGGTTTGCCGGTCGTTTCGTAGTATTTGCCCTTTTGCTGTTTCGGAGATTACATTTCTCTTGGGAATATGTGATGGCCTTACAACAAAATCATGCCCAACAACGGGTTTCCTAAAGCATTTATGCCTTCGGATTTTCTTCTACGGTGCTGCGGTGTATCCAACTACATATCTATCCCTTCATCACGACGATAGTCTGTTCCACTCATATGCATAAACTTCCGTTGCTGCTTGCGAGCTCTAGGTTTTTGATTTTTTTTCACCCGCTGTATTCTGCGTGCCTGATGTACCTGCCTGCGTGCCACCTTCTTATCCTCCCTATCTCTCGCGCGCGTTTGCTCGAGAAGCTGATCAAGATGAGGGTGGACAGCAAGCAGCACGCCGCCATGATGGAGCAGAAGAAGAGGGGCACAGCCGTGCAGGTGGTCCTGCAGGGGCACGCCGTCACCTCCAAGCACCTCAAGTACCTCATTCCCGCGGGTGAGAAAAAGAGAGGGGGCCCCGCGTGCATGCCGCTCAGAAGTAGATTGAGGGGGAAGGGCGGGAGGCAGGCGAGCACCTCAAGTACGTCATTCCCGCGCGGCGAGAATAACAAGAGAGAGGTTGACCCCGCGTGCACGCTGGCCAACAATAAGGGGGGGGGCTGTTCTGCTGTACCAGTATCCCTTCTCGCACAACGACACGATGACGTCGACGCACACACACACGTGCATACCACCTTGCAATGTTTCTTGGCATCACCAACACCAACACCAACACCTCAACGAACGATACTCTCCCCCCCGTTTGCATTACTCCGCCGTGCCCCCCCCCGAGCCGGTGCTTGCCATCGGGGTAGGGTTTTCGTCGCTTGGCAACGACGTTTTATAAAACAAGTCAATTCACTTCGTGAACTCGACAACCAGGTTACCGCTTTATTTTTGCAAGTTGTTGTTGTTTGTTGCGGTATCCATGAGTGGTGGTTAAGTAGATCATGCTGTGCGGTGTGGAGAACCCTCACTACGCGCAAGGGAAATGATCGCACCACGTTGTGTTAAAATGGTCAAGCATCCTCGAGGCAGTTACACACAGTGCTTACAACTGTCTCTGGAAGTGAAGCGTCAAAAAATAAATCAAGTCATACGCAGCTGTCATCCGTACGCAAGGAAGTAAGCACAAG